GAAATGAAATTCCCAGCCCTCAAATCACAGGTTGGTCCTCCTGGCAAGCAGCCCCTATCCTTAGGTAGGGTCCAAAGGCCACCTCATTAACATAACAAAGGATACCTTTGTTGCTCTCATCACTTCTGAAATTCTGAGGTTTTTAGGAGCTCTGTGAAAGACCAAATCTATATGTCTTATTATAAATCATAATAACACAAAATAGTAAATCAGAAATGAGATGAAAAATGTTTTTGCTCAAACTCTGACAATGCTGTGAGGAATGCTTTATAAGGAAGAAAGAGAGTAAAAGTGGAAAAAATAACTTGGAGACCAAAAAGGAAAATGGAAACTCACCCAAATTTTTAGCTTAGAGCAGTGACACTAAATTCAAATGATGTCATAGTTTTTGTCTCACTTTTCACCAGGGGTTTATTTCCATACGATTATGGACAGACTTGCAAAAATTGAAGGCAGATTTACCCAGTCAGTAATATCTCTTCTCATGGTAATTTGTCCTCCTGTGCATTCATTCTAGAAATTGCAGTGCTACCATCACTGCACAAATATATTTTCACTTAGACAACAAAGTTTTTATATCCTAGTTACGCTCTGAATTCATACCCAGAGAGTAGCAAATCAACCGTTTTTACTCTGTGACTTCTTGATATATCTGTATTTCCAGAGACAAATTATCCACTTGGCATTTGTGTTCTTCCTGCTGTTCACCTAGAGCCCAAGTGATGTGCCTTTCAAACCTCATAGGTAGGCTGCTCCAGCCACCCTCAGTGTAGGTGATGTAGGAAAGACCATGCTAGGGTTTGAAGCCGACAGCCAAGAAAAAATTCTTGAGACATCTTTGGTTCAAAAAGGTGATTTTATTAAAGCACGAGGACAGGACCCATAGGCAGAAAGAGCTGCAATGGGGTCAGGAGAAGTGGCCCATTATATACTTTCAAGTTGGGAGGGGGTTAGGGATAATGTAAGTCCCTAAGGAATTTTGGAAGCAAGGTTTCCAGGATCTCCAGGGGGCTAGCCATTGTTGGGAAAAGGTAATTTATTACTGTCTAGTAAACCTGAGTCATGAGACCCTTCAGATATATACTGGTGGGCCATATGCTTGGGGGGTTTAGAGGATAAAGGAAGTTTCCAAAGAAATTTTTATACATTAAAGTAGACTTACAGGATCCTGTAAAGCAAGGGGTGGGGGTCAGGCTAGGATTGCCTTTTGCCCTTAGCAAAGTATTAACATGGAGGCAGCTGAGTTCCTAGAGGAATGTCGCTCTGCCTGTTTCAAGGACTTGTCAATGGGCTGCAGGTAGTAAGGAAATTTAATAATTTTTCTTCTGCCTTTGTTTCCCACACCATAGGGATGATCCCCACCCCAGGGTCAGGTTTCCCGGCCTAGGCCAAAAAGAAATTGTTGCAAAGCTGAAGGAAACTAACTATGCAGTTTGGAGCTGCTCAAGTTTCATTTCAGTAAAATTGCATCATAAAGAATTACTGACAAAAGGAAAAGAGGAATAAATAAGCCTTCATGTGCACCTGCATCAGTCAGGATTCTCCAGGGAAATGGAAACAGAACCAGTAGGAGTACACACATGTGCACACGCATGCACACGCACGTGCACACACACACACGAATAGATACGCATACACATACATATACATCGATTTATTCTAAGGAATTGGCTTTGTGGGCGATGCAAGTGCAGAATCTGTAGGGCAGGCTCTCAGTCTGGAAACTCTCAGGCAGGAGTTGATGCTGCAGTCTTGAGGCAGAATTCTTTCTTCCTTAAGGAAACCTCAGTTTTGCTCCTAAGGTCACCCAACTGACTGGGTGAGGCCCACCCACATTACCAGGATTATCTCCTTAAAGTCAACTGATTGGTGACTAAGATGGTGCCACACCTACTGAATAATTGGGTAGACTAGCCAACAATTAGGTAAACACATAAAACCAAGCATCACGGTACTCAATTTATGCCCAAAATTGAGACCCTAGAAAGACCCTCTTAATTCACCATCGGTATCAATAAAACAAGCCACTGTTGCTTGGATAGTTTTGTTCTCTTTTTTACTTTTTCATAGCATAATTAAGACACATATACATTTCCATAACATTTCCCCCAAAACTACAGGGGAATAAAAATAATAAAAATTAACGTTCCATGAGTAATAGCCCAAGTACTGTGTTGAGTGCTTTACATTTATAATTTCATTTTACCTCCATAGCTCTGTGGGACGTTGGGAGGGACTAATGAGTATGTATGGTGCAACCCAGGTGCATTGCTGATTGTGTTGGCCTTTGCTGAAACAACCTGGGCTCCGTTGTTCAAGAGCCTTGTTGGAAGCCTATGGTGCCAAAATTGAGGGTTAATTAAGATTTCATTGTGATTCATCGTGGGCAGCAATTCTGAGTCCTGCAGTGCAGAGGAGCAATTAGAAAGGGGAGAGGAGCAGGGAAACTGTGTTACTGACCACCGATGCTTTGCCGGCAGGTACATCATTTCACTTAATCTTCCTAACCACCCTTTTTGTTCTATTTCATTTTACAACCACCCACTTTGAGGTGGAAGAAACAAAGTCTCAGAGAACGTAAAGAACTCCCTTAAGTTTCCATAGGTAGTGTCAGTTCCATGATTCAAGCCCAGATCTCTCAATGTAAAGTCCATAAATATACTTAAATGAACTCTATATCCATTATATCCCTCACTTTACATGTAAAACCCCATCTCAATATGTTCATAAAGTCACTACTAAAGCAATGACTATTATGACTGCTTACATTATGTAGTACAGACCTCACATCTCAAACACCTGTTGAAGATACATGGGATGATAAAATTGGGAGTCCTGTTTGGTCACCCTAAGAACACCGCCATAAAGGAGTCCCCAGGTTTCTGAGTCAGGTCCCCAAATTTTCAAATATGCCAAAGACTCCAAGAATGGTTTAGGTTCATAGAGAGGGATGCACCTCAGCCAAGCTCAAAGGAGGTACAAGTATCAACCAGACACCAAATTCCTAAATCATGGAATATCCTTTCCCCACCATGAGAAGGTTCA